CTATGTCTGCTCCTTTTGAGAAATTCTGTTTGATGTATAATTCACCATTGAGTTGTTGAGTATTCCCAATTATAACAGTGTTACTGATAGGTGAGAATAAAATATGATAAATAATGACACTTGTTTCAAAATTTTACTAAAATCTACTGCCACAAGGAAGTTGATTTTACCCACATAAAACGCATGAAAAAGAATTATCTACATCCGTTCATCTTCACAATGACAAGCCATGACAATTTGCCTTTCTTGTATTACAGTTTAGTTTGTAAAGGTATAAGATTATGTATTAGTTTGACAATGAACTGATATAGAGAATTCATTTTCATGTGTTTTATGTTAATCAATTACTGATATCACGGTTTTTATATATTTATATACCATCAAATTACATACACAGTTACATATATGGTTTTAATCTGGTTTTAAACAAGAGAATAATCACAAGATTGAAGGAAATCTGTGGTGTAACCATATACTAACAATGATGCTATTAATTTTGGCTCCCCATGGCTCTGTCCATTGTGATTTGTGATAAATAACTGCCGCCTAAATCAATTTCTACCAACAATTAAGCCACTGACTCACTATAAAGAGATTGTTGCATTATATAATCTTAAAGCCATAGAACTTTCTAGAGATTTACCCGACCCAGATTATGCTGTAAAATTATATGATTAAAGGGAGTGTAAAAAGGTTTTCTAAAATTCTTATGTGTATCGGGGACACTGATATATAATTTGCACCATTCAAATTTTCAAACAGACGTCTGTGGTTTCTGCAATTCCACTAAAACTAAATGTTTTATGAAGTGATATAGCACATTTTGAGATTTGTGACGTCATCATACGGTTAGTTTTATCGGAATTACAAGAACCACAGACGTCTGATTGAAAATTGGAATGGTGTAAATTAACGCTATCGGTGTCCCTGACACACATAAATATTTTAGAAAACCTCTTCACTTTTAGTACAACAATCTCTTTATAAAGTTTCACCAAATACCATGATACAATCATTCACATCTCTTCTCATTTTAGGTCTCGGAATCTGAGACGTTTATCTGATGGTATCATTAATCTACAAAATTTGTTGCAAACGTGTTCAGATAAGAAATTTTATATACTTTCAACTGATAACACAGAAATAAACTTCATTTGAGTCGTCAAGCAGATCTGTGGTAGAGATTTCTGGATCATATAAAGTGTAATTTGATCCTTGTATGTCTAACAACATAAGCTTCTTTTTGCAATGTTCATAACTAAAGTGTCAGCAATGTCTCTTTCTTCCTTTGTGCTTTCCAATAATAAATATAAATAATAAATGGTGTTAAATTGAAAAGTTTTTCCGAATTCAGATGGTACTTTTCTGCTAAAATGATCAGTTATGGCCTTAGCCACAGAGTGCATTTGCACGTGTTTTCTGGTAATTTCCTCGGATGAAGAAGAAAAAACTTCTCTAACAGTTTCTCATTGTATTGTTTTATCACCCACAATGATTTAGTCGACAGTTTTCTGCCTTGAAGGCATTTATAAAAAAACCAGAAGCAAACTTTTCCTCTTCAACAAGTGCTTGAAGAGTTTATATTAATATCAAATTTTTCTATATATATCTATATATATTTTTCTTTACAGGTTTTACAAATTTCCCTGCATTCAAAAGTGTTTCTAATAAAATAGATTCTGAGTTTTTCTTCCATCGACACTTCCCTGATGATACAGTGACAGTGTTCACAACTTCAGTAACTTACCTTGTCCTTTATGTGCTGTATCTGGTTTATGTTGTTACAGGATGGCCCTTTATTTGAGACAAGTACATCGCATGTCCTAGTCGACTAAATGCGTCGAGCAGGCTATTTTAAGATTATTCAAGGACATTTCCTTGAAATTAAAAGGTACAAATTCTCTTGGCTGTAAGGGTTTGAATGTCTGTTTATTATCGGGCTCATCTTCAAGCCTCTGCACCACTATTTCTCGTGGTAAAGGTGTCCTGTTGCCTTGCCGGCCTTAACATGTATACACCACTACGCATCAATTTAAACAATCCAAATCTTTGAAGGAGCCAACAGACCCCAACCCAATAGTGGCATTATCCACATTGATATCTCTGAGAACTGGGAATCCAAATATCGACATGAAATGCAATCCGTTCACTTTGGTGGTTCTGACCCTTCACACTGGTGTGATGTATATTTCTTCATTCCATTTTGTACAATTTCAGATTCAACTCGACATGATCTTGCGGCAATCTGGGTATATCTCGACACATTATTGTATGGAAGACCAATCAGCTCAAAATTCAATGTTCTTATTTCCTAATTGCTATTACCTAATTGCTACTGCCTAATTTCAATTTATAAATTCTCATTTCTTCATTTGTAGGCTTAACTGAACATTTGTTTACAAAATTTATCATTTGTAAACAAAATTTAACATTTGTTCGCCAATATCTAAATTATTAGTTTAAGACTGCCCTACGTCTAGAAAAACCAATTTTTGTAGTACGAATTCAACATTTGTCTATTTAAAAATGTCATCTATATTAACGACATTTTCTGTAATAGCAATTGTATAACAGTAAATTTCTAATAACAACTATGTAGTAACAAATTTCAACATACAAATCTAGCTCAACAAATGTGTAAATACAAGTTTGCAAATAAAAATCCCCAGAATCAAATCTTCAAAAACATTTCGCATAATACAACTTTCTAAAAGCATCATTATAACGTTAGTCGGCGCTGATGATTGCTTCAAAATAAGAAACAGACTATAGCCAAGTGTTGTTTGCCTAACCGAAAGTAGAGTTGTTTTTTTAGGACCAATTTAAGGTGATCATTTATATCAGTAATCACAATGTGTGAAAATCCGGATCACACAGAATACAGCAGATGAAAAATCTCTTGCGAGAAAAAAATATTAAAATCATTCATACACTTGGAAATTATGAGCTGCAACCAGGTATTTTATCAGATATCGAAGTGTGCATCGAAATGATCAGCCAACTGTCTGAAATCATTAGGCCTACAGAAATTGAAAATATGGATAATGTAGTGAACTGTTTCCAGAAAGGATTATCATCTTTTCAAGAGGAAATACTCATATAGTTGATAAAAAAAAAACAACCCCTACTATTTTACACAGGGAGTGTGGACGGGCCAAGCTACTTGATTTCTAAGGAAGGTTTGGAGGAGCTATTAGAATGTGATTTTAGTGTGTCAGAAATTGTGAGTATAAGCACAATTAAAAGGAACCTAACCCAGAATGGACTTTCAGGGAGACTTTTTAGTGATATTGGTGATCAAGAATTACAAAATAAGGTAAAAGACCTTAAAAAATCAATTCCCTGATGCAGGCTATAATTGCTCTACTGCGTGATAATGGACTTCAGAGAGCTAGAGAATACAAGAGCTGTGGATCCCGAAGTTGTCCTTTAAAGACGCCTCTTCTTCAGTCTAAGGCGTATTCAGCGCAGATGCTACAATGTGCGTGCACCCAGAGCTCTATGGCATATAGACAGTAACCACAAACCGATAAGGTTGGTTATGATAAAACTTGTAAACAAGTTTCTTATTTTAATTGTAATTCATACATTGTAGATTAGGGTGGTTGAAAGGTAACAAGTTACTATCCAACAGAAGGGTAGTTAGTTAATATTGTCACTTAAAGACGTAGTAGCATACATTCATCTTTTTTGGTTAAAATAAAGTAACACATTTTCTAGACTACCTTTCCCCTTATATCCACTAATAATAATAAATTATTCCAGGAATTCTTCTTTATTTTTATCCGGTGGAGGTTTGTAATTCATGGTGGGATTGGCAGGTACTTAAGAGTTCCAGTTTTTCTAGTTGTAAATAAAAATAACAAGGCTGATTCAGTAGTATATGAGCTCATAGATTGGTCGCATTTTTCCACATTCCATTTCATTTCATGGGAAAAATGCAACCAATCTATGAACCCCCAAAACACAAGACAAGACCTAAATTCCCTACATTTCATAAATTCTTACACTTAAAATAGACCTAAATTCCCTACAATTTCATATAACATCCTAAATTCCATACATTTCATATACCAAAAAAATACCTTCAATCAATTTCCTACATTCCATCAAAAAAGCATATTAAAATAATGCAGAAGGGAGATAACTCTTTTTTGAAATTTTCTACTCAAATTTTAAACCTTAAAAATGGCAAATAAAATACTAGATCCAATCTTAAGATTATACGATCCGATTCGTTATTCGTTTAACAAGAAAAAGGGGATTATATTATCATCTCACCCACTGTTGGTTTTAAATCCCAATTGAATGATGGTGGTAGAATTACCTTCGAAATTATCGAATTGGTTGCTTCTTTCCGATGCTTATTTCAGATGCAATTTCAAAATTAAAGATGGAACTCCCAATGAAAATCGTGTTCCACAAAAAACGTTAGAAAACAATTTCTTTCCATCTTTATTTAGCGAGATGGTTTTGGAAGCTGGTTCAAATCCGATAGAAACAATCAAACATCCAGGGGAATTCGACACAATGTTGAAAACAGTTATACATCCTAAAGATTTCGATTCAGTCTAGGGTTTGATACCCGATGTTGGCGATGGAAGTGTTTTAAAAGAACCGGTGAGAAATCTTGCAATAGATGCTGATTTAGCTAGAGTGAGAGTTGTTGCTCGAAACACAATAGAAAGAGTAGCTAATCATGGATTTGAAAAACGAGTACTTCAGTATAATAATGTTGTTGAGAATAATAGTTGGGGTAATTACGTAAAAGGGAATTATATCCTTTATTCAGTCTGTTGGAACAAAGAAAAGTTTCCAGAGTAATCAACCACGATAAGATTTTCTTTGGAGAGAATGGTTCAGATGCAAAATTAGAAATAACAAATCTCCAACTTTTCATGCCCGTAATAACACCATCAATTGAAGTAGAAACGAGAATATTCAACTCGTTAACTAAAGATATTTAAATAGCTTTTCTTCATCGTAACACGGTAGGTAGCATGACTTTAACGGGAGAATCCACCACCTGGTCAATCACTAACACTATTAAACCAGCAAGATATTTAATAGTTGGTTTCAAGAACTTACCAGATTCTCAAACGAATAACAATAATGTCTTCAGAGTGGCAATGAACCAAACTCAAGATCCTTTAATCCATAAAGTTCAAGTAAGATTAAACATCGATAATTATCCTAACCAATCTTTAACAATTAATCCAACCACAAAGGATTATAATGAATTGTATAGAAACTATAAAAATATGTGTGAATTATTTGGAAATCCACCTGAGTTTGAATATGTAGATTTTGCACTTAATCATCCAATCTTCTGTTTTGATCTATCAGCTCACCAAGAAGATCTTTGCAAAACAGGAGTCAACTTAAATATTCATATTGAAAAAACACAAGTAGATTTAACAGGTTATTGTTTATTATTGGAAGAAGCAAAACATTTAATTAAAATAGCAGATAGAAGAATGATAAGAATTGAGTAAAAAATACACCCTTAAAAATAAAAGTAGAAACTTTAGTCAAGAAAATAATAGAAGCTATCGAAACGGAATCACCAACTTTCAATGGTAAAAAAATAAACATAACTAAAAAACTTATTGATAAATATAAATATTGTAAAGTCAGAGACGATATAGACTTAGAAAAAAATGATGCGAACGCAAAAGAAGGTGGATTTTTACCTTTCCTTCTACCTTTAATATTTGGTGGTATTCCAGCGGCTACTGGAATAGCAAAAGACGTCAACTCAAATAAAGCAGCTGCAGTAACAGCAGCTGAAAAACGCAGACATAATTTAGCAATTGAAAAGGAGGCACGAGGTTCAGGAGTGGGAGAAATGATCGGCACAATGAAAGAATTTGGAAAAAGATTTGGGGAGGAAACCAAGAAACAAGGATTAAATAAATTAGTAGATTTACACGGGAGAAGTCAAAGTCAAACATAAGGGTAATATTTTTAAAAAATATACACACTGGAGAAGGAATATTTCTTTCAAAGTATAAAGGAGAAGGAGTTATTTTTAGAACAAATTAAAATAATAAAAATGGGCAACAAATTCAATCATTCACAAATATTTCCTAATAACCCAATGCTCATGTGTATATGCGGTAGTTCCGGTTCTGGGAAAACTCATCTCACTTTTAACATGTTGACAACACCAAACCTTTTAGATTTCGATTCTTTGTATATCTACACAACAACACCAGAGCAATCGTATTATCAATTTCTTAAAAGCTTTAGAATATCTACCAAAGAAAGACGTTCAAGACCTATTTCAATATTACGAAGAAACGAAGAAGAAGTGGAAATAAAAGATATCTTAAATAACTACATCGAAGGAAAGAAACCAACGGATATAAAAGTTTTTCTTACGAAAAATGTTAATAATCTAGACTTGTCTTATATTGATAGCAAACGAAAGAACTTAATATTGTTTGACGACTGCGTGGCGCAAAGAAATCAAACTGTTCACAACTGTTACTGCATATACCAATCCCAATCTTTTTACGGGATGGATTCTATGTTTATTAGAAAAAATGCAAATTTTTTTTTATTATTTGAATTAAACGATAAAGATTTATCTCAAATCATTCAGTCGATAAATCACGGAATGGACAGAGATGCATTTAAAAAGGTTTGGAAAGCTCAATGGAAAAACCCAGATGAACAAGGATATGTATTCGTTAATACTAGAAAACCTGCGGGTGAAAGATCGGCATATGTTAATTTTATTTTTTTAAAAATGGATAATTGGAATAATATTTTAAAAAGAAATAGAGAATATATCAAAGCTAAGAATAAAATAAAGATCCAAGTTGAAAATAACAGATTACAACAACTCGGATTAACGGAAAATCTACAAACTCTATTTCAACCCATATTAAAATCTCAAGAGGATATTAAAAAGAAATTAGCACCTAAACAAATTCAACAATCACCGGTTCCTTCTATAGAATATCCCATTAAAGATGATGGTATTATAATTAGGTCATTATATGATATAAATCATTATTTTTCAAACCCTGACCCAGATTTACCAAAGACCATTTCACCAATTGTTGATAATGATAATTTGATCAATTTTACCCTTCATTCAAAATCGATACAAAAGACTTTTTATTACATTAACAGAAGGATTAATAGATTTGATGAATGGCGGGGATATTGAGATTGCCAAACGCAAGGATTTAGTAGAATACTTAAAATTTCTGTATATAATAAAGAATAAGCGCAAAACAAAAAGATTGATGACAGTTGAAACATATTTAATTTATTCCTGATGAAGAGGAATCAGATGATTATGCAGAAGATTATCCACCAATCATACAAGAAATAGATGAAGATATGGTATCTGGAGAAGGTATAACGTTTTTATCCGACAACAACGAGGAAATACTTAATAGATTACAAATTATATTAGCGGCAATGAAGGAAGGACATCCATCGCACAGACAATATAATTAAGTGAATTGTATATGAAAAAGACTCATAGAAAAAGGTATCATAGATAAAAGTGATTATAAAAGCGTGATAGAACAACTATTCGTTATCACCTCAAATAAATCAGACATTAAATTATCTCTAGATTATGAGTACGAACTCGATCGCAATAAACAGTACGAACTCTGTTTACAATTCCATTAGAAATATCAACGAAAAAAATAATCAAATAAAAATATCAACAGATAATGGAGTTATGAGAATGATATCGATGTGATAAATATACATTGCAATTTGATAAACGGTGGATTTTTCAATAAATACAAACGACAGATTATTTACAGTCTTCCAACATTCACTGTACCGATAGGATATAGAATTATAGAAAAACCATTTCAAACAACGTATTTACCACTTAATTCCTTTATGATTAAAGATGTAAATCTGGAAATCAAAGATGGTAAAAATAGGTTTATAGATTTTGGTAACGAGGAAATTGTTATTCAACTTCATTTAAAACAAAAAAATTAACTCTCTTCATTCTCTTCTTGAATCGTGATCATCAAATTCATAGTTTTCATCTATGTTAAATTCTTTTCCGTCGTTGTAAGGATACATAATGTTTGGTGCTTTTCTCTTAACGAGATTTAGATAACTTCTAAAAACTTAGAAACCCAAGGTTTCTTAAATTCATTCGTTACATCGAGTCCACTAGATAATCGAATATAATCTTCTACGGATCGAAAGTTAGAATGATAATATATTAACTTTTGGCGCTAAATATAAACCAAATATAATTCCACCATCACCGTAATCATTCTTTCCTTTACAATAATCATTTTCGGACACCAACCCAGCTTCATTTAATTTATCCCAATTGCTAGACGAAATGTATAAACTATCGGTATCCGTATAGTATATTTCCGGTTTATAAAATCCATCTATAACGTGAATAAAATTATTCATTATTTTTTTTACTCTGAGATAAAACGAATGATCCCAAATGACTAGGTGTAAATCTTGTAGAATCCTTAGGAGGAATAAATTCTTTTTCTTCTTCATTTATCTCAACTATAGTTGGCTTTTAAATAGATGTCTCGATGTAGTTATATCCTTCTGAATAGATTTACCTTACAACCAATTGCCTAATAATTTCATACAATTACTACCTACGATATTACCTTCTTGTTTATATTTATTTCTTAGATCTCTCAAAATTAAAATATAATCTCTATAGAGTGGAGTTATAAAATTTTCTTCGTAAACTATACCATCTAATATTTTAATAATTTATCCACCGGCATTCACTATTTCTTGAATATCGACCGTTGTTAAAACGTCGTGACAGAAACCATTTCTGAATCTGATTTTAGTGCCAGTTTCCTTCTTACCTTCTTTATTCGTGAAAGTGATTTTATCTTTAGCTGGTATGGGTTGGAAGAACATGTTTTTGGGATATTCAAACCAGACTTTTAAAATAGCAGTTCTAGGTCTGAATTTCTGTTCATTAAAGAGCTTGACAAACTCTTTATTTTCTTATTATTAGAGTCACTTGTACTGTATTCCTTTAATATATTACAAATTTCATCCATTTTATTCGTTTTAAATGATTTTCGATTTGCCGAAACTCTTCCTCCTTTAATACTTTGTCTGATAAATATCTTATAAAAGGTTGAGTATTTGAGTAACCTTTTCTTTTTCGCTGTGTTTCGGAACCATTCTAGTAGTTTCATAACATTCTTCTTCAATCATTTCTTTATCGTAATGATATAAATAATACCAACCCTTTAAAGATAAAGAAGGAGCTGTTAGATTATCGGAAATACAACTTCTTTCATTGCTTGATTGTATTTTATCAAACAAGCTCCGAGACATAGCGTATCTCTTTTAGCGTAAGGTTCGTGTCTTAAAGATTCCCAATTATCATTAGTGTATTTTGCAATATTAACAACCCCGATCTTTCTCAAATTCATTGATAGATTAGATGAATTTCCCCATGCTGCCAAACTAGATGATTCGTGTTGATAGGAACATATGAAATTAAGTTAAAGGTAGAGACAGAATTCCTCTGGTCGTTTTTAAAGGGCATTGTGTTTTTTTTACGTTTTTGATCATGATCCAGTTATCAAAACCGCTAGCGTTATGAGCAATTAATGTTATTTTTTTTTGATCTATTTTTCCTAAACGTTGCAACATTTGATCGATTGTTGTAAAATTCTTCTGGAATGGGATCTGTCGGTTTCAAATCTGGAAAGAGATTATTTATTCTGTTTTTCTTAGTTTTTCTAAATTAATTAACGTGCAAGATAAGGTATGGCTTTATTTTCTTTATATGTTTCGCAATCCCACGCGTATAAACAATCATCGGGAATGGTTGGAGAAACATTTAGTTTTAGAGGTGAACCTTGCGTTACCGCATTATCATCTTTACAAGTTCTCCATAAATTTTCATCGTAATTATCTTCTATTTCTTTAATGCCTAAGGTTTTGTTATTTCTTCTTATCAAACAGAAATGTTCTTTGTGTAAATAAAAAACCCAATCTAATTCTTCGGATACTTTATTTGGTTGAAAATGTCTATGTTTGGGCATATAAATTTGAAAATAAGTATTAAATTTCCTATTGAATTCGCAGATTCTAGCAGATGTCATAACTCCTTTTCTGTTTGATTTTTAAAAACTGTTGATGAAATCTTGAAAATCTCTCGTGTAGTCTTCGTTTATTAACGCACTTTACAAAGCAGTATCCATCACTCGGTATATAACAATTTATACCGATATATTCATTATCTTTTTGAGTAAGGTAACACCACTACCCTTTTTTGATCTTTTTATTTCTTTGAAATTGTTTTTACGGAAAATAACTTTTCCTGTGAAATACCAATCAGAAGCATCCGATTTATTATCCACCGCAATGTAGAAATTGACAAAAGTTTTGGAATTTGTTTTTCTATCATGTATTTTTGTCTACTTTCGAGTTCCATTTTTTAGGTAATTAAATTAAGTGAACTTCTAATAAACCAAAAGATGGAAAGTAACAGTTACTAATGATATTTGTCCTTTCGAATCATTAATCTTATTCAGATGAACTGAAAATTTGGTTTTTATATATAAACATATGCATTATCTCTTATTAAAAAATTTAACTGTTTGTTTCTTTTTGTGGTTCTGGATTTCTAATAATATTCATTGGTGGTGGAGTTTCCGTTTCCAATATCATATCAAAATCTCTCAATATAAATCCATGTTCTTCTTTATCTGGTATGATTAACATTTTAAACCTATCTATATATTTTCCACTAGTTTCAAATTTATCTTAGTGATCAACCATGGTGTTTTCGTTAATTCTTTAGTTTCTACATTTTTTGTACCATTGATAAACTGAAGAACTTTACGAACGTTCAATTTTATATTTGATGAATGTGAGATTTGTTTGAAGAATATTGAATCAACAGTTATTTCAATTGTAATTTTTCCATGAAAAATAAAAGGTATTGAATATAAATCAAGATTTGAATCAAAAATATATTGGGGGTGAATAATACTAGTTGGAGAATATACTCTATCAAAAATATCAGTAATAGAAGTATTGTAATCTCTCAAATTTTTAAATGGAAGATTGAAATAATATGATTCTTTCTTGAGAAACCTTTTTTCTAATGCGAGTATATTTTTGTCCTGTTTCAAAACTGTTCTGTATTTGTTAATGAATATAGGTTTTGTTCTTTGTAATTCACTGTTAAGTTTAGTTTCCAGATTCCATAAGAATCGAAGAAATAAGTCAGAGTCTTTGTATAAAGCAGAATGTAGTGTGTATATTTGTTATCGCGTAAAATTTACCTTTCTTTTATTACAGATCATTTATTTCATCTCTCATACAATAATAAAACGGTGATATATTTAACTCATTCGCCCATCTCATAGGTTGAAAGTTTGTGGTTGTACCGGTTCCATATTTATCGAGAAATTTTTAAAAGTCGGTTTTTTTGAAAAAAAATTGTATGACATTCTGATAAAACACATTCAATAATATTTTGAACTTAAATTAAAAGTCGGTTTTTTGAAGTTCGTTTTGATAAAACCTTCCTATGATTTGTTCTTTGTCTTGATCGATTAATTCATATGTCGGAGGTGATGTGGTGTTTACTTTATCAACGATAAATATTTCTTTTGTCCAGTATCCAACGTAAGCTTTTTCGAATTTGCTTTGCGCGTTAATTGCCTTATAATATTTGGATTACTCGAGGCTTGTTGGTGTGACACCTATAGATGAATGAATTTTGTTATTGTATTCATCTACAACCTCTGGTAATATTTTAAGCCATTTTTGAGATTTAAATTCCGTGAACTTTTTGAATAATTTATTTTTTAGACTACCTTGCCTCAGGACCTCTTTTCATGACTATTTTTCTAATACTATTTTTCTAATACTTTGAGAAGGTATAACGTTTTTTAATATTTGAAAATTTTGTACTTTCTTCTATAGTAACTGTGCGTAATTTTCTATGAATCGAAATGATGGTGTAATCCAATTTGTGTAAATTTGATATCTATGATATCTGCTACCGATTGCTAAATTATATTTGAGAACCGATTTTTGAATTGTGATTTTTCTCTTTATTTATTTCCGGTTGAAAAATATGAATACTTTAAAGGGTCGTATATCTTGACCTTGACCTTTGATGATCATGTGACCATAACAATTTTGATAGCTCTCGACGAGATCTTTCCAATGGTATATTAACGTTTATTGTACGGTTTTTACTTCCGATTTTATCGCCATTTGAAATTGATGAATTTTATCTTGAAAAAGTCGGTTTTCCACTTGTAAGTTTTTTTGTGTCTAAACGATAAAGGTAGTTTGCTCCCTTCAACTGTTGTTGAATACAATGTGAGTTGAAGCGATCTGTCGAATATGCTTTGCGTTTGGGCGATCTATATCCCGTTAATTATGTTACTGTTACGATACTTTGCGGCACAGTTTTAAGCGTAAAATCAAAACTGTTACCTCGCGAAGCCTGTGGA